TGTGACTGCTTTTGAAAGATATTGTGTTCCTCTATAGAATCAGGTACTTGAAAGTTTTCTTGTTGTGACTTTTTTTTTCCTAAGATTTATTTGAAAGGTAATTATGCTGGGGGCGGGACAGGGGACAGAGAATTTCTATCCACAGATTCGCTTCCCAAATGACTGCGGCACCTGGAGCTGATCTGATCCAAAGCCAAGAACCTCTTTCAGGTCTTCCACTGGGGTGTAGGGTACAAAGGCTTTGTGCTGTTCTCTGTTGGTTTTCCAAGCCACAAGCAGGGATCTGGGTGGGAAGTGGAGCAGCCAGGACAGGAACTGGTGCCCATATGAGATGCTTTGTTCTTAAGCTACTTGTTAAATCCTTCCTTTGCATACTCTTAGAAACTGGATGACAATACTGAAAAGTATGCCCTTTTTTGCCTAGGCTTGTGACAATGTAAGGATAAATGAGAACCTCAGATGGGAAAAAGCTTGTGATGGGAAACATCGTCTTATGTCTTAAGGAGTATACAGATAGCAGGCAAGGTGCTCTGGATGTTTGAAGCCTCGGCTTTTGATCCTGGGAATTGCTTGCTAGCTTCATTGTTTCCTGATAAAGGAGAGTCACGCTAGATTCCCAGTAGTAAATTTCAACCATAGGATTGTGGGAGACATTTGGGAACCAACTGTTTAAGCACAATAGTGGAATTTTTTTTTTTTTTTAAGATTTACTTATTCTTATTGGGAAGGCAGATACACAGAGAGAAGGAGATATATAGAGAATCTTATGTTGACTGATTTATTCCCCAAGTGACCATGGCAGATGGAGCTAAACTGATCAGCACCTCCTCCAGGTCTCCCAGCCAGTGCGGAGTCTCAAGGCTTTTAGGCCATCCTACATTCTCCCCTCTGGGTCTCTTGTCCCATGGCCAGGGATAAATGGGGAATTTGGTTCTTTTGACTCTTACTCTTTGGTGGTGATTGATGCTAACTATCCCAGCTCAGGTCTCCCTCAAGTATGGGTACATTGGTCTGACCCAGAAAGTTCTTCCAGTTTTCCTTCTCTATCTTGCTCTTTTATAAAGTTATGGTTGTGTTTTAAGATTTATTTTCATTGGAAAGGCTGATTTACAGAGAGAAGGAGAAACAGATCTTCAGCCCACTGGTTTATCCCCAAGTGGTTGCCATGCTTAAAGCCTCTTCCAGGTTTCCCACACAGGTGCAGGGTTCCAGAGCTTTGGGCCATCCTCTACTGCTTTCCCAGATCACAAGCAGGAAGTTGGATAGGAAACGGGACGTGAATTGCACCCGTAAGTTCCCTGTACTTTTAAGGAGGGATATTAGCCAATTGAACCATTGTGCCAGGTCTTCCTAGTGTTTTCTATGGGAAACAATTTTGGGAGTTGCATCAAGTTGATTTACATAAAAACTTAAATCAGTTTTAGAGAAGTTCTTATAGTTCTTTGTCAGAGTACTACTAGTGTGCTTTTTTTTTTAGTGTTGTATATTTTGGTGGTAGAAAATGTTAGAGTGTTGGTATAATGTTAGTATGTTAGAATGTTAGGAATATTAGTGTTAGGTGATATTAGGCCCTTTGGGGGAGAAGCCACTACTTCGCTAGGTCAGAAGGCGCCTGAACTGTGGGAAAGCTCCACTTTAGTGATCAATCTGTCTCCCTTGTTTCTTTATCTACCATCTAACCCAGGTGCAGGAAGGCAGGGGCACAGTTCCCCGGCCCCAGGGACGGGAGGAGCCATAAAAGACTGGAGGAGCCATAAAAGATAAGGGTGTCAGGATAGGAGGAGCCGTAAGTAATGAGTGTGAGAATGGAGCAGACTGCTTGCACCTAAATTTGTTACTTTTGAGTTGACTTTGATATATGTTACAGCCAAGATGGGGTATATAATCTCCAGCCTTATGTTAAGTCGGGGTCCGATCCACTTGGCTGGCCTGTGTGCCCCAAGTACGATCTGACCCCAGCATGCTGGCACAATAAACTCTGTTTGCTTTTTGCATTACCAGCAAGACTCTTTGTCATTTTCTGGGGGTTGACTAGCTCGCACCCTAATGTCCGGGCGGGGAGCTCTGGCCTGGACAAAAGGTCTTCTCTGAATAAATCATTATCGTTGTTTGTAAGTGTAAGAAACCATAACAGACGATGAGATTGTCCCCAGAATACCAGTGACAGTCCTGGATAAGCTTATGAAAGTTTTTATTTAGCCCTTTATTTTGAGCACTGCATTTAGGAAAACAGTGAATTTTACCTTCTTTGATTTGGCAGGCATAGTCTCCAGATGCCTGAGAGAAACCATGCGTCCTTATAGACTAGCGTGAGGAAGGGCTGAGGGCCTTGCGAGCCAGTTAGAGACCTCTGAGAGACTTGGTTAGGAGTCTGTTGTCTGGGTACAGGATGGCTTCAAAGAAGGATGTGGAGGCCAAGTCACAGGGTACCAGTTCATGATGGAGGAGAGAGATGTGAATAGAGAAGATAAAAGAAGATGCCTTGCGGGGAGGTGGGGGCAAATCCCCCACATCTAAGAAATACACACCCTTATTTTTTTTTCATAGCCTTACTTCTGATTGTGCATTTTATGCTATTCTAATGTTTTGGTTCTACCTTTTCAAGCCCCAAGACAAAAATCCACTTACTAGCAAACCATTTTGTACATCCATGTGGCTCCGTGTTGTTTTTAACTTTGGTGAAAGTCTCCAGATAGCTGCAGCAACAGGGACACCAAAACCAGGAAGCTGGAATTCTGGATCTCCTGACTGGCTTCAGGGACCCACACATGTGCACTGTCTGTTGCTTTCCCAGGAGCTTTAGCAGAGCAACCAGGACTTGCTGAAGCAGTTCCCACCCACGTGGAATACTGGTGTTGCAGCCAGTGGATTAACACACTGTGACACAGTGCCAGCCCCATGGCTATTTTTGTGTCTGGATCCTTAGTCCTTGAAAAGGCCATTAACATTTCTGATGTAACAGAAAAAGCTGGTAGGTATTTAGAAAAATGAAGGTAGCTAGTTGTTAGTTTCATATTTTGGTTGTTAAGTCTTCCAACATTATAACAGAACAAGAGGGTCACTGGAGGGCCCAGCTTGGTGGCTTAACAGCTAAAGTCCTCATGTTGAATGTGCTGGGATCTCCTATATAGGCACCAGTTCTGATCCCGGCAGCTCCACTTCCCATCCAGCTCCCTGCTTGCGGCCTGGGGAAGCAGTGGAGGACGGCCCAGAGTCTTGGGACCCTGTTCCTGTGTGGGAGACCTGGAGAAAGTTCCTGGCTCCTGGCTTTGGATCGACACAGCAGCGGCTGATGCGGTCACTTGGGGAGTGAATCTTTGGACGGAAGAGCTTCCTCTCTGACTTTCCTCTCTATATATCTGACTTTGTAGTAAAAATAAATAAATCTTAAAAAAAAAAAAAAGAGGGTCACTGGAAATTGAATCCCTAATAATCATTGTAGTTTCCATCACCACCATAGTCACTGCCAACATTCCTTCCTTTGCTGTGACCATCATGTCCTCTATCATATCCATGGCCTTGGTTTCCATCTCTTGGGCCACCACAGTAGCCCCCTCTGCCACTGTAATCAGGGCAGCTGCCATAGTTGCCACCTCCTCTGTAACATCTTGTGCTACCACCACTTCCATTGTATTTTCCTACTTTTTTAAGGTTTATTTATTTTTATTGGAAAGGAGGAGGAGATAAAGAGAGCAAGATCTGTCTGCTGATGCACTCCCCAAGTGGCCACAATTGCCAGAGCTGCACTGATGAAACAGGAGCCAACACTATCTGCCGGGTCTCCCACATGGGTGCAATGTCCTAAGGCTCTGGGCTATCCTCAACTGCTTTCCCAGGCCACAAGCAGGGAGCTGCATGGAAGTGGGGCTGTTGGCACTAGAACCTGCGCCCATATGGAACCCCAGTACGTGCAAGGCGAGGAGTTTAGCCACTAGGCTACAGCGCCACTCCTGTGTTTTCCTCTTCTACCACTGCCAAAATTACTTCCAGCACTTCTTCCTCCATGACCCGTAAAGTTGCCTGATTAATGAACATAGCTTTTTGGATCCAGCAGCAAACTACATCTCAACTATGCTCATTAATAGTATAGTATTTCGGGCCTGGCGCGGTCGCCTAGCAGCTAAAGTCCTTGCCTTGAACATGCCAGGATCCCATACGGATGCCAGTTCTAATCCCGGTGGCCCTGCTTCCCATCTAGCTCCCTGCTTGCGGCCTGGGAAAGCAGTCCAGGATGGCCCAAAGCCTTGGGACCTTGCACTGGTGTGGGAAACCTAGAGGAAGTTCCTGGCTCCTGGCTTTGGATTGGTGCAGTACCGGCTGTTGCGGTCTCTTGGGGAGTGAATCATCGGATAGAAAATCCTCCTCTCTGAATATCTGACTTTGCAATGAATCTTCCAAAAAATAATATGTTATTTCTCAGCAGCAGTTTGGATAACTATATCATCATCAAAATTTACAAGAGTCAATTCTCTCCCAACCTGCATGTCTTCTATACTTCCGTTTTCAATCTTGCTATACTTCTCAGGTTTTATTTTTTTGTATCTGCTTTAATATAACAATAACAACAAAAAATCTCCCGCACTGTCAGATGGCCTCAGGCTGTACCAGTCCTCTCCAGAAACATGTTTGTGCTTCTCCGCCGCCACACCTCTGTCTTTCCTGGCAGAGCACACGTTGCTGATTCTACCTCTTCCACACAAGAGAAAAATCACAAAATCCTGTACATTTCCTTCTAGGCTCTCATGACCACATGATCTTGAGAATACCTTCAAAGCTTAGACCAGTTAAGCTTAGCAGTTTTCCTCAACTGCTATGATTGCTTCCTTTCCTGCACAGCATACACACATATATGCACACATGCAAATACACACACCAGTGGCAATGAGGCACCAAGGTTGGAAGCAGCAGTTTCACATCTGTTTGAGACCCAATTCTTTTCCGGCTAATACTACTATTTTATAAAGAAGCACATTGACCTTACCTTTTTTTTATATATGTAGATCATGGAAAGGAAGTGGTTACTGTGTATGCTACTGGTCCTTGGAACGGCTGTCATCCAGGCTCATGATGGACATGATGATGATATGATTGATATTGAAGATGACCTTGATGATGTCATTGAAGAGGTAGAAGACTCGAAATCCACACCAGACGCCAGCACTCCTCCCCCGTCCCCAAAGGTTTGAAGTGGCCTTTGTTCTTTTACCACAGGGGTTCATTGGTTTGTGAAGATTGTTTTCCAAGGAAAGCCAGTTTAATTTGTCTGGCAGCTTTTGTCACATATTACCAAAGTCTGAATGGCTGGAGTTTGAGGGAAAGCTATGCAAGTTTTTTGACAAATCAAAAGCAAATCAAGAAAACATTCTCCTAAGAAAGAATGTTGCTAGAATTTTGATTAAGTGATTTTGTATTATCACAGGTGACCTACAAAGCTCCAGTTCCAACGGGGGAAGTATATTTTGTGGATTCCTTTGACAGAGGAACTTTGTCAGGGTGAGTATTTCCTAAGAAAGAAAAAAATCTTGGAAGCAAACATCTTTGTAACAGTGTACTGTCACTACTTAAGTTACAGAACACTTCAAAGCAGGGTGGTTAAGAATGCTAAGATCAGGATAATCTGATTTTATGAAAATTTAGCATTGTCTCTCTTCATGGGTAATTTAAATTTTAACTTGTGGTTTTGTTTTAATTATAGGTGGATTTTGTCCAAAGCCAAGAAAGATGATACTGATGATGAAATTGCTAAATATGATGGTAAGAATTGCTGTTTGATTTGGATATAAAAGCATGTTGAGGTTTTTTGTTTGTTTGTTTTTAAGATTTATTTATTTTTATTACAAAGTCAGATATACAGAGAGAGGAAAGGCAGAGAGGAAGCTCTTCCGTCCAATGATTCATTGCCCAAGTGACCACAACAGCCAGTCCTGCGTCGATCCAAAGCCAGGAGCCAGGAACTTCTTCCAGGTCTCCCACACATGTGCAGGGTCCTAACGTGTTGGGCCATGCTTAACTGCTTTCCCAGAACGCAAATAGGGAGCTGGATGGGAAGTGGAGCTGCCGGGACCTAGAACTGGTGCCCATAAGGGATCCCGGTGCGTTCAAGGCGAGGACTTTAGCTGTTAAGCCACCATGCTGGGTCCAAGCATGCTGCAATTTGACACTTTTTCTCCATAACAGTTATTGATGCTGGCTTTATTTGTTTATTTTTTAAGATTGTATCATTTATTTGTTTGAAAGTGTTTTTTGTTTGAAAGGTATCTTGTATCCACGGGGTTCACTCCTCGGATGATCTCCTCATGCTGGTACATGGCCCAAGCAATTAGGTCATCTTGCTCTGCTCTCCCAGGCCGTTAGCATGGAGTGGCTGGGACACAAACCAGTGCCCATTGGGATGTCAGCATGCAGACAGCAACTTTCTTTGCTGCACCACGATGTTCACGCTATCAAGACTACTCTCAAAGGGGTATCTGTCTGAAGATTTGGAGTTTCACCATTTGTGTTGCCTTTGGTGTGTTTAATAAGATTAGTCCTATTTAATCATTTATGCTTCTGTCTATTAGGACAGCCTTTTCTAGACCATGCTAGAATGAACAGGAAATGTTAAAAATTAATTAGTGTGGGCTTAGCATGGTAGCCTAGCGGCTTAAGACCTTGCTTTGCGTGCCGGGATCCCATATGGGCGCAGGTTCTAATCCCGGTGGCTCACTTCCCATCCAGCTCCCTGCTTGTGGCCTGGGAAAGCAGTGGAGGATGGCCTTGCAACCCTGTGCCCATGTGGGAGACACAGATGAGGCTCCAGGCTGCTGGCTTCAGATGGGCGCAGCTCTGTCATTGTGGCCGCTTTCAAGTGACTCATTGGATGTGGGACATCATCCTCTCTGTTTATCTGCCTTTCCAATAAAAATTAATCTTTAAAAAAAGACAAAAATGAAAATTAGTTATTGTGATAGACTACTTAAACATGTACTCAAGAAGAGCTTTCTTTTGTGCTGCTTTGTAGGAAAATGGGAGGTTGATGAAATGAAGGAAACCAAGCTTCCAGGCGATAAAGGACTGGTCTTGATGTCTCGGGCCAAGCACCATGCCATCTCTGCTAAACTGAGCAAGCCTTTCCTGTTTGACACCAAGCCCCTCATTGTTCAGTAAGTGTAGTTAGCCTGTTTGCTGAAAACTTCCTAGATGGTTTATTTAAACATTCTTGCTGTCTCTCCAAAAAAGTGATTATGAGAGGTGTTCAGAAAGTTCACAAAAATATTTCATTTGAAACATTTATGCTTGATTTCAAAATATTTTTGCACCAAAACACTCATTTTTTCCACATGCTGAAAGTACTCTTACGAAAGTTACAGTAGAGATTTTTGGTGTGAATTTAAGCATCTTAAAATATCTTCTTCCTGCTTAACACATTTTGAAACAAACGATTGTTCATCCTTTTGGTGGTAAGCAAATTTCTGAATTTTTCAAAAAAAAAAAGTATTTCTTGGGATTCTGGAGTAAGATTTAATTTTTTATTTTAGTTATCTTTGTGGGATTTGGTGGCCATAAAGAAGTAGTAGAAATGGATCTTTCTCTGAGATGAACATAACATCAGTGGTGAAATAAGTGTCCCAGTGGGAGGGAAGTGAAGTAATTTATGGGAGCTTCCATAATGCCATCAAATTTTTTCTGCCATTTATTATTTATTTTTCTGAAATTAGGTATGAGGTTAATTTCCAGAATGGAATAGAATGTGGTGGTGCTTATGTGAAGCTGCTTTCCAAAACACCCGAACTCAACCTGGTAGGTACTGCTCTTGGTGCTGCCACCCAGCCACAGTTAGCTGATGAGACGCTTAGAGGAAAGCAAAGGAAGTTTCATAGTACCTGGGAAGGTGAAGGTCTTCTTCCCTGCTGTTTCAAACTTTGGGAGGCCTGAGAAGATTGCCTGTGACAAGAATATGTTTTTGTTTGAAATGTGAAATATAAAGTTGTCATCAATTGTTTTGATCTTCTCTAGCTTCTGCTTTATTTAATTGTAGTTTCAGTAAGTATTTCTGTTTGATGAAAGAACTAGATGGGTTAGATTTAAGCTCTGTTTAAAATTGCTGGTTATTTTTCATTCATAGCTAAACAAACTTTACAAAACGTAAATAATCTGTTTTGTTTCTAAAGGACCAATTCCACGACAAGACCCCTTACACAATTATGTTTGGCCCAGATAAATGTGGAGAGGATTATAAATTGCACTTCATCTTCCGCCACAAAAACCCCAAAACAGGGGCATATGAAGAAAAGCATGCTAAGCGGCCAGATGCAGATCTGAAAACCTATTTCACCGATAAGAAGACGCATCTCTATACATTAAGTAAGAATGCTTGGTAGTTGGGGGATTTCATGGCTTAAGTATCTGTCAGCATTGTAATTTAGTGATTGCACATCACTGTGGTGCAGATGCAAGTCTCAGTGGGTAAATGAGCCTAATGTGTCCTCACTGGGAGCAGCTTTTCATCTGTAGGCTGAGTTGAGAGATCAGGTGTGAGACCATTTTACGAATTACTTTTTGTCTTACAGCTGCTTTGCCTGTCCTCATTTCTTCCGTTCATTTGCTTTCTTGCTGCTAAAGCAAAGTAAAAATACATATGCAGATCTTCAAAATTAGTGTTTCATTGAACTTTTTGGGGAATGCCCTAATGCCTGGATAATTGAATAGGTCATTGGAATAGGTTTTTGTTTTTATAATTATAAATTATTTATTATTATAATTTTTAACCTACTTGAAAGACACAAAGTTCACTACCCAATTGCATTCAACAAAGCAGAAGCTGAGGGCCCAGTCCTGGTTTTCTGTGTGGGTGGCAGTGACTCAATCACCTGAGCCATACCCTGTTGCTTCCTGAGTGCACAATAACAGGAACTTGGAATGGGAGCAGAGCTGCACATCCCCCCCGGGCAGCTCCAGTGGGGTACAGAAGCGTCTTGGCTGACTTCCTGGCTGAGAGGCCAAATACGGGTTTTTTGTTTTTGTTTTGTTTTGCTGGTTTGAGATCAGATATATAAATTGACATGACTTTTTTCCCTAAAGAATAAGAATATAGTAGTCTTTTGTTTTTTACAAAAGTAATATGTGCTCAGGGTATTGCAGTTCTACAGATGACAGTAAGCAAAATGAAGCTGTTAGTTACCTAATATGACAGGCATTTGGCCTATTATGATGCCTCTTTCTCACATACAAGGACCTAGGTTTGATATTCCAGTCTGGTTTTTAGCAACATCTTCCTGCCAGCAGACTCTGGGACTTGTGTTTTTTTGTTTGTTTGCTTGTTTGTTTTGTAAGATTTATTTATTTTTATTGGAAAGGCAGATATACAGAGAAGAGAGACAGAGGGGAAGATCTTCCATCTGATGGTTCACTCCCCAAGTGGCCACAATGGCTAGAGCTGAACTGATCCGAAGCCAGGAACTCTTCCAGATCTCGCACACAGGTGCAGGGTTCACGGCTTTGGGCCATCATCCTCTGCTTTCCCAGGCTACAAGCAGGAAACTGGATGGGAAGTGGAGCTGCTGGGATTAGAACCAGTGCCCATGTGGGATCCCGGTGTGTTCAAAGGCGAGGACTTTAGCTGCTATGCCATCGTGCCAGACCCTGGGAGTTTGTTCTAATTGTGGTCCTACACCCATGTGGGAAACCTATGTAGAATTCCTGGCTGCCAGGGTCTGCCTAGCCCAGCCCTGCCCGTTTGGGACATTTGGGGAATGATCCAGTGGACAGGAGCTCTCTGTATGTTTGTTTTTCTGAGAAACAAATGAACAAATTTTTACAAATTATCTGAAATAGCAGTAATATATGTGTTTGTATATATGTATTTAAAGGCACATCGAAGTTGCTTCCCTAAGACTGTGAGTCTTTCCCAGACAGTGTCCATTTTCATCGATATTGGCAGTGTAGAATCCTGTCATCTATCTGCTCTGTCTTGTCAGACACTGAGCTGAGGGTCCACACTGTAGCATACATCTCACTCAAAGTGGTGTTAGGAATTTGAGCTTACATTTTTACTCTTTTGGTCTTTAAAAGAACAACAATGAGTGAATATGTGATTTAGCAGATAAAAGGTTTATGTCATTTGGAATTTTAGTAACATGGATGGTGACAATACTACCTCTATTAAAAAGGGGTCTTAATTACTAGCAACTAGTTGTAGTAAACTTAATTTGCCTGGTGACTAATGTATAACATTTGTGTCACATTACATTAATTTTTTATATAATTCTGAAACTAAGTCTTTTGGTGTTATAAATGTGAAACTATTGTTGGAGTCCTAGAAACCCAAAGAAGAACCATTTGTGTTCTGCAGATAAGGAAAAGGGGTAATCTTGCTCCCAGCAGCCTGAAGTGGTAGATCGTGTCTGACTCCAGCAACTGGTCTCATGCTTGTATGTTGCTGCTTTCTGTTAGAAGGCATGTGGTAAAGGGAACTTTGCAGTGATGATTAATTAATTGCTTTTCATTGCATTTAATTTGCTTCCAGTCTTGAATCCAGATAATAGTTTTGAAATATTAGTTGACCAGTCTGTCGTGAACAGTGGAAATTTGCTTAACGATATGACTCCGCCTGTAAATCCTTCACGTGAAATTGAAGACCCAGAAGACCGGAAACCTGAGGATTGGGATGAAAGACCAAAAATACCAGATCCTGATGCTGTGAAGCCCGATGACTGGTGAGTTTTGTGGACCTTTCTGGTTTGAGTACAGGGGAGTGTTTCAGAACTGCAGAACCATATTTGCTGTGGTGACACAGTTGGTTTGTGGCAGGACTCTGATCTCTTGGTTTGGCTATTTCAAATGTGCCCTTGAATTCACATTTACATTTGAAGTTTCAGTTTGAAATTATTCCAACTTTGCTCTGTGTTAGACCATGGAGAACTATCCAAAAGGGTTTATCCTCTACCCAGGGCTAACAGTCCAGCTGTAAGGCGGGTCAAAAGCCATAATGTAGCCTGAGCAGGTATTGCTTGGTGGCCAGAGCAGCAGATGTAACCACCTAGGCCTAGTCTGCTGGAATAGGGCACAGCAGCTTGAGACTTGATGGAGGGCAGGGTAAGATTTGACTAAGTGGTGAAGAAGGGGAAGGGCATTCCTGATTGAAGAAGAGTCATATGCAGCAAAGAGGAGGAATGAGTTTGACACAGATGAGAGATCCTTGAAATGGGACCTTTTGTGGAGGCTGAGAATTAGAGTGATGAGAAATGAACTGTGATGTGTATTGGACAACAAGCATGGCTATAATCACACTAGGCCTTGTTCAGATACATAGTTTATAAATTTTTTCTGGTGAACTACTTAAAATTTTTGAGGCTAACTCCTAAATTCAGAATTCTGTGAGAATCACAATGAGATTGTATTGCGATTCTCCTGCCAGTGTTGTCATACTTTGTTTTGTGTTCAAGGGATGAAGATGCTCCTGCTAAGATTCCAGATGAGGAAGCCACAAAACCTGAAGGATGGTTGGATGATGAGCCTGAATATGTCCCTGACCCTGATGCAGAGAAGCCAGAAGATTGGTAAAAGATTCCCTTATCTTTTAAAATGGCTTATTTTATTTAATTTTTTGGGAGACAGCAGGGAGCACAGAATACTCCCAGCCTCTGATTCCCTCCATGGGACCTGCAGAAGTAACCTGAGCTGGACTGGGTTCAGGAATTTAGCCCAGGTCTGTCTGGGTCTCCCACAGGCATAGCAGAAGCCACATAACTGCTAACTGCTGCCTCCCAGGATCTGCATTAGCAGGAAGCTGGCACAGGAGCCACAGGTGTGGAAAATCAAACCCAGGCACTCTGTGGGGGCTGCTGGTTAAAAAACCAGTAGACACTGGTTATGTATCCAGTAGATGTTGCGGCTATGGCTTTTTTTTTAATAAAGTTTTTTTTTTTAAAAGATTTATTTTTATTATTTTTTTATTGGAAAGGCAGATATACAGAGAAGAGAGACAGAGAGGAAGATCTTCCATCCGATGATTCACTCCCCAAGTGAGCGCAATGGCTGATACTATGCCAATCCGAAGCCAGGAGCCTCTTCCGGGTCTCCCACGCGGGTGCAGGGTCCCAAAGCTTTGGGCTGTCCTCGACTGCTTTCCCAGGCCACAGGCAGGGAGCTGGAAGGGAAGCGGGGCTGCTGGGATTAGAACCGGCACCCATATGGGATCCCGGGCGTGCAAGGCGAGGACCTTAACCACTGTGCCACCGTGCTGGGCCCAAAAAGTAAAGTTTTAAGCCCAGTGGTCATACTTAGAGTTAACCCATTTTAATTACTGGGTTATTAATTTATTTTTGTTTGTTTTTTAATTTATTTGTCATGTGAAGTTGTTAACTGGAAATAGAGAAGCAAGAGAAGATGGGAATTGTGTAGTATGGCCCTGTGTCAGCATCCCACAGACGTATGTCACTTATCCCTTGTTGTATATTTCCACAGGGATGAAGACATGGATGGTGAGTGGGAGGCTCCTCAGATTGCCAACCCTAAATGTGAGTCGGCTCCTGGCTGTGGTGTCTGGCAGCGCCCTATGATTGACAATCCCAATTACAAGGGCAAGTGGAAGCCTCCCATGATTGACAATCCTAACTACCAGGTTTGTGCCTCTAATGGTCGAATTGCTCTTCTTGGTCTGTGTGTACCTGCTAGGAGGTTTGATCACAAGTTGCTTGCTTGTGTTCAAGCTACTGAATGATGCACAGAAGGCAAACTCCTTAGGGAGAGATAGAGCTTAGTGGACTGAGTTGCACACAGAAAACCTGGAAGCTAGAGAACTGCTAACAAGAGAGTTTCTTTAAGCCACAGGGTCTGAATCAAGTTTAGTGATGTGTGTCATGTGGTGGGTAGAGGACTGTAATAGGAGTTGCACAAACAGTAAGGTAAAGTAGCATGTGATGCTCTTGCTTGTGTTGTCACTACCCCAGGGATCTGCATGCTGTGAGTATTTCTCTAGCCTCGTGATTTAGAATTGATTGCTAGTTGAAGAACCTGTACCTTTTATCTTAAACCACCACTGGAAATGTCTGTTTTTAGGCTTCCTTTCCCACCACCAGTTGATTAGAATGGAGGCTGGAATGGTTTGGAATAAAGTCGGGAATGATGAAGATTTGAAAATAAAATCCCGAAATGATAGAAGTTGCCTGTGTGGAACATCAGAAGCATCTCCTTTCTGCTGTTCATTTTTTCCTGTTAACACTTCATCACTTACACATAACTCATCTTAGCGATTTTCTGTAAATTGTTGATCATTCTCTGTAATAATCCTATAAAACCTTTTTTTTCCCCTAGGGAATCTGGAAACCTAGGAAAATACCAAATCCAGATTTCTTTGAAGACCTCGAACCATTCAAAATGACTCCTTTCAATGCTATTGGTTTGGAGCTGTGGTCCATGACCTCTGACATTTTTTTTGACAACTTTATCATTTCTGGCGACAGAAGAGTGGTGGATGACTGGGCCAATGACGGGTGGGGACTAAAGAAAGCTGCTGATGGGGCTGCCGAGGTTCGTGAGCTTGGACTTGTTCCCTGAGGAAATAACTGTTTATAAGAAGGTGTCTTTCTTCTTCTGGGGATATTGGCACAAAAGGTTCATAAAAAGGGTACCTCAAGTTGCATAGCTTCAGTTTGGAATGTGACCTCATCCCTGAGGTGATTTAGAGTTCTGTGTTTTTTGTGTAGGATTTTTTCAGTTCATCTATGTATATGTCTCAGTTTGCCACTTAGGGTATACTTTAGGATGCTCTTCAGTGCTAAATCTTGATTCACGCAACACAGAATTTTTTTTTTTAAGATTTATTTTTATTATTTTTTCATTGGAAAGGCGGATATACAGACAGGAGAGACAGAGAGGAAGATCTTCCGTCCGATGATTCACTCCCCAAGTGAGCGCAACGGGCCGATACTATGCCGATCTGAAGCCAGGAGCCTCTTCCGGGTCTCCCACGCGGGTGCAGGGTCCCAAAGCTTTGGGCTGTCCTCGACTACTTTCCCAGGCCACAGGCAGGGAGCTAGAAGGGAAGCAGGGCTGCCGGGATTAGAACCGGGGCCCATATGGGATCCCGGGCGTGCAAGGCGAGGACCTTTAACCACTTGAGCCACCACGCCGGGCCCGCAACACAGAATTTTTAAACTCCAATATGTAGCCAATCTGGAGAGCCAAAAATAGTGAGATCAAGAGGTTCTTCATTCTCTGATCTTGAGGTTAAAGGACCTTTGGCCAAAATTTGTATTTAATGTAAAAGGAGAGCAGGAAAGTGGAAACTTTGTTTCTTTTTTTTTTTTTTTTAAATAAACTAAACCCTTTTTTCTTGGACTTTGATCTATTGTATGTTGTTTTTCAGCCAGGTGTAGTAGGACAGATGATTGAGGCTGCAGAGGAGCGCCCATGGCTCTGGGTGGTCTACATTCTGACTGTGGCTCTGCCTGTGTTCCTTGTTATCCTCTTCTGCTGTTCTGGAAAGGTAGGCATTTCGTTTGGAATCACCCTAACAAAGAATCCCTGTGATATTAGAAATTACTAAGATGGGGTAGGCAGTTAGTGTCCCCTGGTTTCAAGTCATGACTATCTCCGCCTCATCTCCCTGCTAATGTTGGCCTTGGGCATCAGTAATAGTGATGGTTGTAGCTGTAGGATAGGGTCCCTGCCAGTCAAAGTTGTATTTGTAATGACTCAGTAGTGGCTGAGCTGCATTTGGTGTTGGCCCCTCAGTGCCAGCTCTGTGTCTAGGTCTTAATGTTGATGACATTGTTACCAACCTCAGCAAGGCCATGCAGCCCTGCCCTTGCTGTCCTTACCTTTTCATTGGTTTACTTTCCACCTTGAGCTACACACACACACACTTTCCTATACATCTGTCTGTGTATATAGCTTGCTTACTTGTTCCTGTAGGCGTTTAGTGATGCCATGATGATGTGCTAATGAAAACATGCTCAAAACCATCCTGCTTTGAAAATTGTTTCAGAAACAGCCCAGTGCTATGGAGTACAAAAAGACTGATGCTCCTCAACCAGACGTGAGAGAGGAAGAGGAGAAGGAGGAAGAAAAGGACAAGGGAGATGAGGAGGAGGCAGAAGAGAAGCTGGGTAAGAAGTGGACTGTTACAGACCTACCATTGTGCTGTGATACTGATTAACTAGTAGAAACAAAAGGTAAGTTTGGTTCACATGTGCTTTAACTGTTTCAGAAGAAAAACAGAAGAGTGATGCTGAAGAAGATGGTGGCACTGTCAGTCAAGAGGAGGAAGAGAGGAAACCTAAAGCAGAAGTAAAGCAAGAGGTAATCCTGATGAATTTGAAGCAGGAAGTTGAAGGCACATTTTAAGTAAAGAATATTTTCAAAGCATGGCTATGATGATAAAATTGTAGAGTCAGTTTTATTTCAAATACAATAAAAAATCTTAAAGACTTGCAGAATGAGGAGGTACAGAAGTTTCTATCTGCTGGTTTTCTCCCCACATGGCCATATGGCCAGGGTGAAGCAAGGAGCCAAGTACTTCATCCAATCTCTTATGTGGGTGGCAGGGACACACAGTTGGGCATTTTCTGCTGCTTTCCTAGGCACTAAATCAGTAGGGTTGGATCAGAAGCAGAGCAAACATCATTCAAAATGATGCTCATATGGGATACTACCAGCATCACAGGTAGCTGCTTAAACTATTGCACCACAGTGCCAGCTGCTATTTGCTAACTTTAAGCTATGCCTCAATTTGAGGTGTTTTTTGTTTACTGAAAATAGTTTTTCAGGTTAAACAGAGGTTTTAGAGTGAATATAATAAAATACATATTGAAATTTCCAAATTGTTACCTATTTCTTGCACAAATTACTGCATTCTGAACTATTCCTTTTGCCCATTCAGCAAAATATTTGTTGAGTGCCCATGGCATTATCAGAAATGCCCTGGCATTATCAGAAAGCAAGATGCACAAAGATATCCTGCCTGCCTTTAGGGGCTTAAATTCTAGGGACAGGGCCAATAGACAGTGTGCAACAGCCATTGTAAGGAAGTGAAAGAACACACTATGTTAAGGAACAGTAAGCTACACAACTTAGAAGCAGGAAAAAATATCAAATGTTGGTGGTTAAGGGGGTTGCAGTATTAGAGACCTCATTGGAAAGATGACATGTGAGCAAAGACTTGAAAGGGGGTGAAGGATTTTGCTTGGTGATAGCACCAGGGAGAACATTCCAGCTCTTTGCACAAGCCTCCAGTTGTCCTAAAGACAGTAGAAGGCACTACAAAGAAGGGTGCACGTAAGCATGATGGTAGTAGAGGAGATCTTGTGGTGGGGTAGCTGTGTGTGACTGAGAGTAGCATCCATGTCCACCTCCACACCTTTTTCTCACAAGTCCTGAGTCTCAGCCTGTGAGGTTCTCCTGAGGCTCCAGTCCCAGCTACCCAAACTCCTTTGTCTCCTCTCAAGTTGGGCCATCATGTGCATGGGCCTAGTAAATTGTATCCACAGAGTTTCTGGTCCTTTCAATGGAAACATAGATTTGATCTAATCATTCTCTAGTAGGTTGGTTGGTTGGTTGGTTTTCCCCACAAATGAGTTACCCTCAGTCTAGCTGATCTTGCAAATATGTGGAACTTCTTTTTAAATGTGCTAATTAATGATTTTTTTCCCCCACTAACAGGAGGATGAAATTTTGAACAGATCACCAAGAAACAGAAAGCCACGAAGAGAGTGAAACAATCTTAAGAACTTGATCTGTGATCTCTCCCTCCCCTTCCCTTGCAAGTGTGGTCCTGGAGAGGACCTGGCACATCTTAGGTTGACACTCAGAAAACCTCAAGACGTCACCATCAGCAGGTCCCAGTTGAACACTAGTCTCTGTGATTTTAAACATCTAGCAGTAAATAATTGCAGTTGTGACACAAAGGACCCTGTTTGTAGAAAACATTGAACATAATGGTTGTAAGATGTAACATGAAGCAACTAACTTGTATTTTTGTTTTTAAACACTTTGTTTTTTAAGATAGAATAATAGAATTTTGCCAGTCTTTAAAACCTTGGCTTAATTTACTATATTAATCTGTCCATTCGGAAATAATACCAACTTCAGAATGCAAAGGGGGTGAATTGCAGTTTTTACAACTTTTTTTTTTTAAGTTTGGTAATTGGTGATACAAAAAACATTTGAGTGTCTCTGTCCCTCAAGACTGATGATGATCATGTCAGAGTGCAGCCATCTGTGGTGATAATCTTGTTTTGCTTGCTTCCATTGCTCAGTTCCTGCTAAGGAAATTGAGGTGAGGGATTGGATGGAAGCCTAAATTTATATAAGCATTCTGTTTAAGTTGTATTAAAAATAGACTTTAAAAAAAAAAAACTTTTTCACTGGATGTTGGTTAGACCATAACGTGTGTATATTGCCTTGGGCCTGCAATGAGTGGAGGTGGCTTGGTGCCTTGGGCATGTGGAGCGTTCTGGACTGCTGCTGCCAGAGCAGATGCAGCAGGGCATGTGGGCTCCAGAGTAGATGCGCTCATCACTCTTGACTGTGTTGACACTGTTTTCCTCACCCATGTCCCCACGTTCCCAGCTCTCTCCTTTGCTATGCATCTTCACAGCGCAGCTTCCAGTCCGTTGCTGAAAATAACTATAAGCTCTGCATAGTGTTAAGCTTTATTGTGATTGCGTGTATGTTTCTTTTTTTAAAAGCAGACCCACACCTTTCCAGGGTCAAAGTACAGCATAAAATATACATTTCCATTTCTTTTACTCTGTGGAAAGACTTTAGAAGTCTGATCCAGAGGTGAGCCAATTCACAATTGACTAATTGAACACAGGATAAAAGTATTTATGAGAGGAGTGACATATAGCATGACTTATCACATTTCTGTAGCTGCTAAATATTTTAAGTCTTCATTTGAAATTCATGTAACAGTTGGGTCTTAAATTACATAATAAAGCAGTCCTTTCAATTTTTTTAACATGGTTTGTAGAAATTTTTTTTTTAAGTGATCATAGGTTTGTTTTTTCCCCGAGGAATGCAGATGGGTGCTATTGGGAATCTCCCTATCACTAGCTATCATCACACCGCATTGAAGCGATTCAGGATTCGATGGGATTTTAGCTTTAGTCTTTCTTCAGAGCATTTCAAATGTGCCCATGAAATTGTTTCTTGCACTGAATATATAAACACTCACAGTGTTTATATTGGGGATTTTTTTGGGGGGAAGGAAGTATATTTGTAAAAGATGAAGGTTGAACCGTTTATCGCTTAAATTCCTCTGAGGGTGGGGTGCGTTTTTGTTGCTGTTCAGTGCTTATTCTTTTCATCTGCTGTTCTGTGGTCACAGTGACCTTAGCTATGTAGCAGACTTTCCCAATGTATTGAGTGCAAATAAACAGTTACTTAGCAAGACCTGAAGTATGTCTGCCGGTTTCTCCTGGAAGCAAACTGGTGGGATCACTGCATCTCCACAAATTGTATCCTCCACTTTCTTGGAGGTTTCATTTCATTCCTCACTTTGTTCCAGCTGAGGTGAAATGTCAAGTTTAGATCATTATTGTTCCTTGCTTTCCCAGCGCTATTAAGCAGAGTTGATTCAAAACAAAACAGTCGCTTGTTTTCTTTTGTTCAGTTGATTAAATGTTTGACACATTAATAGGTTAACTTATGACCAACGTTAGACTTTAGCTCTTATTAAGCAGGTTCCTATATCATTATTTTACAGGCTGGTTACTGGTCCCACTGTTGTAAAATACTCGCTCTTTAGATTATGTTCCCCAATTTTTCTTGGCCCACAGAGAATGCTTTAGATTGTCACATGACTAAGTGATGTAACATTAAAATGCTGTGTTAGCTCCTTCAGACTAACCCTCTTTATAGTCCCCATCTGTATATGTGTCTTGCTGTTTCAGTAGTGGATTCAACTTCATTGGACCACCACAGAATCTGCCAATCTCCAGAATTTGTTAGGGACAGTAAAATACCTATCACCACACGTATTTGAGTCGGTCTTTTTTTTTTTTTCATATTTAGTTCTGGCCCCTTCCTGCCTAATTTTAGTCTAACAGTTTCTGTGTGGAATGCTGTGAGTAGTTTTGGGGTAACATGATTTACAGGTTCATTGAACATTTCCCCATCACCCCCTTTATTTGCAAAACACAGAAAGAACCTTTCCCTCCCCTCTCCCCCACCTCTTTTCTCCCTCCACATGACTGCAGCTTCGCGGGCTGGGCCAGGCCAAAGCCAAGAGCTCTCTTAAGTGCCTGGGTGCAGGCACTTTCATGGGGGGCAGGAATCCAAAGACTTAAGCTGTAATGCCAGACGGCCACTCCCAGTCAACTTCACATGATCAGGACCAGCCTCCGTGTTACTCATATACTTCCGTATTTCACAGCTATTTGGGAAGGTCATCCCCAAAGAGTATGTGCCAGTAGGCTTTCGGATTGCTTTGCTGAAATGACGCTGTGTAGTACTCTCCTAAGTTACCTTTCTTTCAATAGTTCTTTTAGAAGCAGGGCTTTCCAACTTCTACCAAGTTGTCCGCTGCGTCTGTATTTTTTTGTTCTGGCTTAGTATTTGTGGAGCAGAACAGGCCTTGATGGGGCTGGGCGGAGCCAGAGGCAGGCTGTGCGAGCTCCTGCTGTCAGTGCAGCCTCCCGGGAGCTCCTCGGTTCACCTCTTACTTGCTCCTAGCATTTCCGGCCGACCCCCTCCCACACAATGCAGCGTCGCAGAGCACTTCCTTCCTCCAGCTGCAAGTTTCCAACCTGCGGGCTGTGCTCGCAGGCCCAGCTCTATGCAGTCGGACTCCGCACATTTTCTGGGTCTTACAAGAATTCTTAACATCGGAAACTTGTTCAGGCATTGTAAATGAGACTGGCAGGCCCAGGGGCCCGAGACGGACCAAGACAGCGTCTGCCGAGTCCCCCGGCCCCGCGGCCCGTTCTGACGAGAAGGGAAAGCGGCCGGCGGTGGAATTGCGTGGCCAGATCCCGGAAGGCGGAGAATGGGGAAGCGCTGCCCGCCAGGCGGCTGGCTACGCCGCTCCGAGTCGGCCCTGCTTCCCTCGGGGGACCCGGAAGGGCCTGCCCTCGGGGGCGGCGTTCAGGAAACCTCCGGCCGCCGCTCGGACGCGCTCCCGTCAGTCACCCGAACCTGGACCTCCAGGACTCGGGCCCGCCCACCGCTCGCGCTCCAGTTCCTTTTAAATACCGCTCGGCCGCCCCAGCGTGCTTCTGACGTGCTCGTCTCCACGCCTGCGAGCGGCCCGCTGCTCCTCTCCTCATTGGTCAGAGCTTCTGTCCGTCAGCCGTGACGCGAGAGGTCACCGGCAGGAGCCCCGCCTTCTTCCGAGAGCCCCGAAAACAATTTTAAGATGGCGGCGGCAGCGGCGCGGAAAACAATGGGGTCGGGGCGGCGGGGACAGGCCGCGGCCTGAGGTGGGCAGCGAGCGCCGGCCTGGGGTCGGGCCGAGCGGGCAAGGAGGAAGGTCCGCCGCCGCGCGCGAGCCCCGCTCCGCCGCCCGCGGGGCCATGGCGCGGCCGTGAAGCGGACAGGGGCCGCGGCGGGGAGCGCAGCGCGCAGTGCCAGCCGGGCCCGGCCCGAGCAGCCCGCGGCCCATGGTGCTGCCCACCTGCCCCATGGCGGAGTTCGCGCTGCCACGGCACAGCGCGGTCATGGAGCGCCTCCGCCGGCGCATCGAGCTCTGCCGGCGCCACCACAGCACCTGCGAGGCCCGCTACGAGGCCGTGTCGCCCGAGCGCCTGGAGCTCGAGCGCCAGCACACCTTCGCCCTGCACCAGCGCTGCATCCAGGCCAAGGCCAAGCGCGCCGGCAAGCACCGGCAGCAGCCGCCCGCCGCGGCCCCGGCGCCCGCCCCGGCCCCGGCGCCGCCGCCCGCCCCGGCCGCCCGCCTGGACGCCGCCGACGGCTCGGAGCTCGGCCGCCCGGCTGCGGTGAGTAAGAGCGGCGGGGAGCCGGGCGGTTGTCATCTCCGGGAAACGGCCCTGTGACCTCGCTGTGGTCCTGGCGTGAGCCCTGGGCAGCTGAGGGGTTTATTTTGCAGACGGTTAGCAGAGGTCAAGTTGCTAGTTCGTAAGGAACTTGGAGCACTGCAGGCCTGGCTCATTTATTCGGCAGACGTTGATTGGGTCCGTGCTGTAAGCTGGGCCCGGGCTTTAATATGGAAATCAGTCGGCCTTTCAGTTCACCGAGCCAGACTACTTCTGAATGGAAAAAATAATAATAATAAGCCCTTCAGCGACTTGCCATGCAAGTGTTCCTTGTTTAGGCCTCACTGTGTCCTTAAGATGCCTGCGGAACTGTTGACAACTCCAGCTTTAACTTAGGAGGCCTGTGTTAACTCTTCTGGTGTTACATAGCTGCATTGGTTGGTTTCTCAGTAGGTATCGGGGAAATTTGTAAGTTTAGACGTTGTGTCTCCCTCCACCTCTCCCCCGAAATTAACTTAGAGAACATTTTTGTTTGTAATGTTCTTTGTAAGTTAAGACAAATGTAACCAATTCAGTTTGCTCAGTGTCCTTGGTCTGACTTAGGACTTCAGGCGCTGTCTGCCTTGCTCTTGAAACTGCAGGGCTGAGCTTCAGCCTTTGGGTCTGGTTTTCAGGGGCAGTGTGTCCTCACCAGTCTTTACTGCCCCTACCCTCCCATCCACTCCTCCCTGCCCCCAACACACACGCACATCTTCTGCTGTCCTCTTCCTCTGCCTCTCCAGCACCAGCACCAGCCTAGCTCCACACCCCACTTTCTTTGCTTATTGTATGCACTGCTGCAACTCTTCAGTGAACTGGGAGACTGTTGGGCTTCTTACTGCCCGCAAGGTGCCTACCTGGTTCACGACGGGTGAGTATGGGTGTAAACACACTTTCTAAACCTGAGTGGCTGCTGCTAGATGCTACCCTGCACCTTCCGGAGTCCCACCAGGTCACAGAACCCGCTCCTCCGCCCCTGCCTCTGCTTGAAAGCTGGAGTCAGACCTCTGTGGGCCCACAGCAGTCAGGATCTCCCTTTCCCTTAGGGAAACCAGTCTGAGACTTTTTTTTTAAAGATTTATTTTTATTGCAAAGTCAGATATATACAGAGAGGAGGAGAGACAGAGAGGAAGATCTTCCATCCGATGATTCATTCCCCAAGTGACCGCAACAGCCGGTGCTGCACCGATCCAAAGCCAGGAGCCAGGAGCTCTTCTGAGTCTCCCATGTGAGTACAGTGTCCCAAGGCTTTGGGCTGTCCTTGACTGCTTTCCCAGGTCACAAGCAGGGAGCTAAATGGAAACAGGGCTGACCGCAGAATGCGGAGTGTCTAAACCTGACAAGCCAGCTTACTGACAGTTCTTGTGAAGTTAAGGCCTTGTAGTGTTAGAATAATAAATGTTCATGAAACTGATAGTTTCATGTGTCAGTTGCCTTGAACCTCAGCTGTGTAGTAATAATGATTCAATCTTTGGTTAAGGTGGGATTAGGGTGAGTTTTGCAGTGCTGAATTCCTGAAGAGAACCTGGGCGTTCTCTTTAGGAAGAGAATCCTGAGCATCAGCCCCTGAGTCTGGTTTCTCAGCCCTCTGGCTGTGAGAGCCTGCCATTTGCTGAGCTAAGTTGCTGTGTGACCATGTGAAGCCCTGACCCTGGACTCCTCCAGTGTAAACTGTGGGGTGGGAATTATCCTTTCGGGTCTTTGCTAGGAAGAGAACCCATTTCATTGTAGGCTCCACATGGTTTTAGTTGAGCTTCGTGGCTTTGGAATGGGCTCGCGGGAACAGAAGATGAGGATTGCTAAGGCAGCAAGGGCATTTTCCATCGCCTTGCACCTCATTTTTTAGGAGTAGGGGAGGAGAGTCCTTAATGAGATAGGACTTGGGAGATACAAAGGAGAAGGTGTCCCTTTTAATCATTATTTTTCATAACTGTGTATGTTCTAATTAATTACTCCTTGCGTTAGGAAACATTCTTTTTTTTTTCCTGTGTGTGTGGTAGTACTTTGAGGCAGTCATGTCACAGCCAGATACCAGCAAGCCACATGCATGCCTGAAGAGGGATCAGACACACTGTTGTTCACCTTGACTTCAGCTGACTGGTTCTCTTCTTGGAGAGCCCCACTGCCTGAGCCCTGAGCATCATCGTGTGCTGGAGGCAGAGCGGGCACCAAGCCGCAGGCCCTTGCCTCCTAGAGTTCTTGAGCATCTATTGCCCGCTTCTGCTGGAAGCAGACCGGGGATTGAGCCACAGACTGTGTCTCCTGGTGTTCAGGGCCTCAGCCTCCAGATGTGCTCCTTAAAAACAAGGGGCAGGACTGGCAGCGTGGCCTAGCAGCTAAAGTCCTCGCCTTGAACGCCCCGGGATCCCATATGGGAGCCGGTTCTAATCCCGGCAGCTCCACTTCCCATCCAGCTCTCTGCTTGTG